TTTAGAGTTCAATGGTACAGAATCATTACGTAATTACCTATTTCTGTTTGGAAATTGAAACTCTCGTTCTCAAAACTCAAATTCAAACTCTGACTATTGCATTTTTGTGGCTGATTTCAATAGTTTTGGGGTACATCGTGTAGAAATGAATAAAATGATATACAAATGACCCCCTCCACCCATATCTATATTTTATTTAAGAATTAAAAAACGAGTCGCGTGCCTTTATGGTGTAATAATGCACGATGGGGGAATGTTGGGAGAATACGAGAGAAGCTTGTAAAACACGAGGTGTAGCCGAGTGTTTTATAAGCTTCTCGAGTATTCTTCCAACATTTCCTCGAGTGCATTATTACACCATAAAGGCACGCGACGAGCTTTTTTAATTCTTTTATAATATAAGAAGAAAATTTTAGAGCAACAACAAAATTTATTTATTTGATCAATAATGAAATTCTCCTTACATGTTATTTAAGATGTTGCTTAGCAACAAAAACTTCAAAAGCCAGAAGCGTGCATTATGGCCTCACAATGCACGCGCGGTAGCCAACCAAATTGCTCGTTATATCGTACTTATATTATAATAGACTATATAGCATTTTGACCTGCCGTCCCTTACTCCAGTTCTTTCCCGAGCTCAGTGGTTGCCATGGCAGCTAATCAAAATTCAAAAAGAACCTGGTGGTCGGTAGGGGTCTGCGGGAAACATTCACTCACTGAGCTATATTATTTAAGAAATAGAAAACATTTTCCGTGTTTCTATACAGTTATAGAAACACGCGTGGGAGTTTGGGAGAACGAGAAATAATCAATGGGAAAACGAGCCCGTAGGGCGTGTTTTTCCACGTTATTTCGCCTTCGTTGACTATTCGCTCATACACAACTATCATAGACAACTCGGACTCGTTGTCTAATTGTTAAATAGAAACACGCTTCTCCACCAATCAGCACACGCGTACTATAAATGTTATATTATTAATATAGCTCAGTGATTCAATGCTCCAAGCCTCCAAGCACAGTGTCGAAACGAAAACAAATCTCTTGTGTTTTGACCCTGGTTTATCGAGCAAGAGTGCGTTAAATCGACGATGATTTTACTAAAGAAAGGCTACTTTATCCCGTGCTAGACACCGAAGTATGTTCAATTACATTTCGAAATGTTTTTCTCGCATATCCAAGCGGGATTCAAGGTTTGTTTGTATATTGTGTTATATTTACATTGTATTTGTATCATTTGTCAGGCGGTTCGCCAGAATCTACGTAGTATAAATACTGTCAGATTGGTCAGGCAGGCTTAGTATTTTTAATACCCAGATTACCAATCCCGCCAATCCCAGGAATGTAGAGAAACACTAGTTCCAGTCTACCGTTAATCATAGAAACGCGTTCAAGATGGCGAGACTTGAAAGCGAGAGACCAAAAGGCCAGTTCAAACGGGCGATTTTTGCTGCGATTTTTATATATTTATCGCTTATTTTAGCGTTTGAATTGTTATTGTAATATTCGTCAGTAATAATGAGCCGTTCAATGTCCTTACCGCTAACGGATTTTTTACTTAACATGATGAAGCCTATTCCATAACTTTGCTACATAAATCGCAGCAAATTCGCCCGTGTGAACTGCCCTTAACATAACAAGGCTGGGTAATGAAGTTACCGGCAAAAAGCAAATTTTTTTACACCAACCAGAGATCTTTTTATCGGGGAGCCTTCATGTGACAAATAATAACCACTTTCTCAGCACTGGTCTGACTGCGGCGGAATTAGTGTGACTGTGTAAACGTATATAGATTTATAGTTAAAACAAGGCAACAACGAGTTTGTGAAGACCATCATAAAACTAATGATTGTGATTTTTGATAAAAATCCTTGTTTTCTTGTTTTAACCTATATTTTAGATTTTAAGATGTTAATCTTCGAATTATGTTTTGTTATGTATTTTCAAAAATTGTCAGCTTGTGTTCAGACTTCGGACAATGAAATTTATCTTTTTGAGAGAGATTCTATACATTAAAGTAAAGCCAATATACAAATATACAATTGTGGAAAAGTCTATTGTAATTTTCCCGCCCACCCCGCAGTGCATGTCGACTGAATTGTATCGCAAAGCCCCATATCGTTTATGTGCATGGCAGCTTTATTTAAAATGTGTGAAGAATATAGTGAATCGCAAAAAGTAAGCTAATCGAATGTGCCAGAATAGTTTTTATCGTGCATAACTCTTTAGTATTGTGTGCACCCACCTCCGTTTACTCATCAGGCTCCCCTATCGAAGCTATTATATCACAATTTAGTTGAAAATATTAACTGGTATAGACTCACTTAGTTTTGTTATGCACCAAGTTACCATTCATCGTTACAACGTGCTATCAGCAAGTTCTAAGTTACTTGCATCAAGCTACTCACGTACATTGAATTATTACTTGCATTTACAATTGTTTGTTAATGATACGAAAGTATCGTTTATGTGCATCTTTTTATATACCGATCTAGATTTTATGACAAACTAAAGTGATGGAATCGTTCAGAATTCATGAGTGACAAATTCAATTCCCTCAGGCTCAGTTTGGAATCTAATTCCAATCTGGTACCAAATAAACTAGTTGAGATTGGAATCTAATTCCAATCTGGCACCAATTATGCTATCGTTCAAACAGAATTTCGAAATCGCCGTTTTGCGACAACTGACCATACTATATAGTTGGCGTACAGTTTATTCCGTTTTTTTTACGATATGCCGATCATTTCAGGTCGGTGAGTAATAAGCACAGAACAACTGTACACTAAACGATAATCTACTCCTATGCATTCTCAACATCTAGCTACATTGTGTATACTGTAAATTATAAATCTATGCCTCAGGATTAATCGATGGTAGAACACCAGGTAGTGCATGTCGACTGCATTGTATCGCAGAGGTCCGTATCGTTTATGTGCATGGCAGTTTTACTTAAAATGTGTGAAGAATAGATCGAGTGAATAGCAAAAAGTAAGCTAACGGAATATGCCAGAATTGTTTTTATTGTGTATAACTCTTTAGTATTGTGTGCACCCACCTCCGTTTACTCATCAGGCTCCCCTATCAAAGCTATTATATCACAATTTAGTTGAAAATATTAACTGGTATAGACTCACTTAGTTTTGTTATGCACCAAGTTACCACTCATCGTTGCAACGTGCGGCTATCAGCAAGTTCTAAGTTACTTGCATCAAGCTACTCACGTACATTGAATTATTACTTGCATTTACAATTGTTTGTTAATGATACGAAAGTATCGTTTATGTGCATCTTTTTATATACCGATCTAGATTTTATGACAAACTAAAGTGATTGAATCGTTCAGAATTCATGAGTGACAAATTCAATTCCCTCAGGCTCAGTTTGGAATCTAATTCCAATCTGGTACCAAATAAACTAGTTGAGATTGGAATCTAATTCCAATCTGGCACCAATTATGCTATCGTTCAAACAGAATCTCGAAATCGCCGTTTTGCGACAACTGACCATACTATATAGTTGGCGTACAGTTTATTCCGTTTTTTTTACGATATGCCGATCATTTCAGGTCGGTGAGTAATAAGCACAGAACAACTGTACACTAAACGATAATCTACTCCTATGCATTCTCAACATCTAGCTACATTGTGTATAGTGTAAATTATAAATCTATGCCTCACTGAGGATTAATCGATGGCAGAACACCAGGTAGTGCATGTCGACTGCATCGTATCGCAGAGGTCCGTATCGTTTATGTGCATGTCAGTTTTACTTAAAATGTGTGAAGAATAGATCGAGTGAATAGCAAAAAGTAAGCTAACGGAATATGCCAGAATTGTTTTTATTGTGTATAACTCTTTAGTATTGTGTGCACCCACCTCCGTTTACTCATCAGGCTCCCCTACCGAAGCTATTATATCACAATTTAGTTGAAAATATTAACTGGTATAGACTCACTTAGTTTTGTTATGCACCAAGTTACCATTCATCGTTACAACGTGCGGCTATCAGCAAGTTCTAAGTTACTTGCATCAAGCTACTCACGTACATTGAATTATTACTTGCATTTACAATTGTTTGTTAATGATACGAAAGTATCGTTTATGTGCATCTTTTTATATACCGATCTAGATTTTATGACAAACTAAAGTGATGGAATCGTTCAGAATTCATGAGTGACAAATTCAATTCCCTCAGGCTCAGTTTGGAATCTAATTCCAATCTGGTACCAAATAAACTAGTTGAGATTGGAATCTAATTCCAATCTGGCACCAATTATGCTATCGTTCAAACAGAATTTCGAAATCGCCGTTTTGCGACAACTGACCATACTATATAGTTGGCGTACAGTTTATTCCGTTTTTTTTACGATATGCCGATCATTTCAGGTCGGTGAGTAATAAGCACAGAACAACTGTACACTAAACGATAATCTACTCCTATGCATTCTCAACATCTAGCTACATTGTGTATACTGTAAATTATAAATCTATGCCTCAGGATTAATCGATGGTAGAACACCAGGTAGTGCATGTCGACTGCATTGTATCGCAGAGGTCCGTATCGTTTATGTGCATGGCAGTTTTACTTAAAATGTGTGAAGAATAGATCGAGTGAATAGCAAAAAGTAAGCTAACGGAATATGCCAGAATTGTTTTTATTGTGTATAACTCTTTAGTATTGTGTGCACCCACCTCCGTTTACTCATCAGGCTCCCCTATCAAAGCTATTATATCACAATTTAGTTGAAAATATTAACTGGTATAGACTCACTTAGTTTTGTTATGCACCAAGTTACCACTCATCGTTGCAACGTGCGGCTATCAGCAAGTTCTAAGTTACTTGCATCAAGCTACTCACGTACATTGAGTTATTACTTGCATTTACAATTGTTTGTTAATGATACGAAAGTATCGTTTATGTGCATCTTTTTATATACCGATCTAGATTTTATGACAAACTAAAGTGATTGAATCGTTCAGAATTCATGAGTGACAAATTCAATTCCCTCAGGCTCAGTTTGGAATCTAATTCCAATCTGGTACCAAATAAACTAATTGAGATTGGAATCTAATTCCAATCTGGCACCAATTATGCTATCGTTCAAACAGAATCTCGAAATCGCCGTTTTGCGACAACTGACCATACTATATAGTTGGCGTACAGTTTATTCCGTTTTTTTTACGATATGCCGATCATTTCAGGTCGGTGAGTAATAAGCACAGAACAACTGTACACTAAACGATAATCTACTCCTATGCATTCTCAACATCTAGCTACATTGTGTATACTGTAAATTATAAATCTATGCCTCAGGATTAATCGATGGTAGAACACCAGGTAGTGCATGTCGACTGCATCGTATCGCAGAGGTCCGTATCGTTTATGTGCATGTCAGTTTTACTTAAAATGTGTGAAGAATAGATCGAATGAATAGCAAAAAGTAAGCTAACGGAATATGCCAGAATTGTTTTTATTGTGTATAACTCTTTAGTATTGTGTGCACCCACCTCCGTTTACTCATCAGGCTCCCCTATCGAAGCTATTATATCACAATTTAGTTGAAAATATTAACTGGTATAGACTCACTTAGTTTTGTTATGCACCAAGTTACCACTCATCGTTGCAACGTGCGGCTATCAGCAAGTTCTAAGTTACTTGCATCAAGCTACTCACGTACATTAAAGTATTACTTGGAATCTAATTCCAATCTGGTACCAAATAAACTAGTTGAGATTGGAATCTAATTCCAATCTGGCACCAATTATGCTATCGTTTGAACAGAATCTCGAAATTTTATCAATTTAAGTAACATATAGATTTCCGTTATTCAATTTTCAGTACAAAATCTGAATCTCCACCTATTTCTTCGTTTTCATGCAAAGCACGTCTGTACAGACTAAATTCTTTCTTTCCTAAATTCTCACCGACAAGAATATACTTTACTTATACACGCAGAAAAACACGACCTTTTCTGACGGGAGCACTTTTCATCCAATCTTACAAACCAGAACTAAACAACTGTCTTAAAAACAAGCAAAGAACTCTGACTTTTCCAACTCACACTTCCGGCTCTAACCACTAACTAATACTTTAATTCTTCTTCATGACGTCACAACGCTTGTATAAATAACCAAATAGGGTTACGATTATAATGATGAATTCTTCCCAATTCTTCCGCGCTATCCACCAGATAGTGATTTTTTCAACCGTTCTAAAGATGCTTGAAGAGCAAAAAAATTTCAGCTTTGGAACCAACAATCGTTAACGAGGAACCTTAATTTAGGGCGATTAACGGGCGATTTTGAGGAGATTGAAAAAAACCACTATCCGGTGGAAAGCGCTATCCGGCTTTCATACAACTGGCCCCTGGTATTTATAGTGGCTATAAAATAGCTAAATTGCCGCAAAGTTTGATTTGAAATTCCGAAGTTCGATTTGAACTTCGGAACTTTGTTTCGAATTACAAAACGGAAGTGACAACTTCTAGTGTCACCTAGCCGGTAGCGGTAATTCTAGTTGAGTATCTGTTCATTGCTGACTTGCTGCGTATCAAAAGGAGTATCAGAAATAAGGAAAATCCACAGAATATTTTATTTTCAAGTAGTAGTAGATTGCCAGTTACGTTTTGATTGGTTATTGGACATGCCTTTCAACGAATCGCAAAGGTCGGCCTTACTTACATACTTCAACAATGGCATGACAGGTGTGGGTGAAAAATATGCTGAGAAGATAAATGCCGCAGTTGCTGAAACAGGATTATCTGAAAAACAAGTAAAGGTCAGGATAACAAACATTTAAATCCGTTTGAAGTTTTAGACCGTATGTTATTAATCGAGATATGGTTTAGTGAAATAATACTATGGCACGACGCGTCATTTCTGCTTACAATTACTGTCTGTCGGCAGAAATCTTTAGGTCGATTTCACTAAACTTTGGCCATATTTTTATGTAACTTCTCGCCTTTCCTTGAGGATGATTGTAAAATTTGCTCACATTTAATTTTTGGGGCAGTTCCTTGCCAAGGATGCGAACCTCGAGAAACAGAGAGAAAGAAGGGTTTCTTTAAGATCTTTGAAGCGCGTCGATATGTATCTAAAGGCTAATTTCCACTCCGGAAAACGAGCAGCGGATCGGATCGGAACGAAAGATAATCCGCGCGTGCGCCGTCTGTTGAAATTTTTGGCTTATATTGATCCGAATTAAAAAAGCGTCCGAGACCGGATAAAAAAAAGTTCAAATAGTTTTAACTTTTTTTGATCCGATCCGAAATCACTTCATGGATCAGATCAACTCGGAAAAAAATCCGATCCGATCCGATCCGCTGCTCGTTTTCCGGAGTGGAAAAATGGATGCAAGCTTCACTTATTGCATCCCATCGGTTCTTAGAGGCATGCTGGATTGCCGAACATGCCCAATTAATTAGTTTTGGCCTGGCCTCATAAAAATGTGGTAAAAAATTTTACCTCCAACATTGTTTCAATTTAACAGAACTGGATAACTAAAATGGTGTACAAGTCAAAGCCGAACCCAAAGAACAAAAGATCAATTGCAAACACAAGCGACGCGAGTGGTAACTCCTCGCATGACGTTATACCAAGGAGAAAAAGAGCAAAGAGCAGCTGGAATTTGTTTCAAAAAGAGTTTGCGTCTAGCGAAGGTAAAAATAAATAAAGTTTACGGTTATAAGGTTAGTAGCTATATAGGCCCTACGTGAAAATGAAGTCATTCGCGTTGGCCGTTTTTGACAGGTAGAAACCAATATTACCACAGACAGCTCAGGATTTCAAGCATTAACAAAAATTTATATGTCACGTCCGCGTCGTAGATTGTTTTTTTATACACACTGTACAGTATGGGTCATAATCTGATATATACTGCCTTACTGGCTGAATAATCAATATTTCTACAATGCTTCTCATAATATTTATTAGAAGGAAAAGAATTAATGTCAAATTGTGGAGTAAGCTCTTTTAACAAAACGGCGGCAGAGCGATTTCAAAACCTTTCCGAAGAAGCTAAATCCCACTTGGTACTTGATCATGTGGAAGATGTGCTAACTGAACCGCAACGTGCCAAAATCGTTACAGATATTTTTAGCAAAGTACGAAACAACACGGTATGAATATTAATGTTAAAATCACACCAAATATAAACATTAAATTGACTTTCCTGTCACATACTCTGTGTAGTTATATTCAAAGCTGCGCTTTCAACTGCAGATAAAGTTGAAAAAAAATCGCTCCGCCCGCTCGGACAAAGCGGCTGTAGTGGAAAAGGAAAACGGCCTTTAAAGCTGGATTACCATTCAGTGGAAAATATCGCGCAATCGATATCTTTCGCGCTAATTTCTATCGTATCTAATTTGATTATTTTTATTTTCTATAATCGTAATTATAGTTTTATATTTAGTGCAAGCGGCTTGAAGAACATGGCTGCCCAGCTTTCATGATTGGATTCAGAAACAATAAAATACTTTTTGCTGGATCACACAATATTGAGGCAAAGCTTCGTGATGAGACAATAAAGATGATTCACGAGGACATATTTACAAAGGAAGCTGACTCCTCGGGTAATTAATTATATGTATTGATATTTATTTGCGTGACATATATTTTTTAGCCCGATCCATGCAATCAGCACTTACGTTTTTGCCCAAAAAAGTTTAAAATATTGTACTTTGAAAATGAGTTATATAATTAATAGCAGAAACCGTTTTTATAATTTAGAAACAAGTAAACAAGAAGAAGACCGGTTGCGCAAGGAAGTCCAGTCTCTTTTTAATCAAAAATACCGTGAGTTCAAGGCACCATGACACCCGAACAAAATACGGCCGTTGTAACAGCTATATTAATTTATCATACGTCACAAATTTGATATAAACCAAGTAAACATTGATTCATTTCAACATGACATACATGCGTTCTATCTGTTATAGAGCAGGAAACTGGTGAGAAGGGTCGACTTCCGTACAAAAGGCTGGCAGAATTTGATGCGCAGTGCTTGCCTGAAGGAATAACACTGAAAAAACCCAGTGCGTACGGGACTGCACAACTGAAGAAAATCGTGGAGTGCAAAGATCAAATTAGAATAAGAAAAAAGGATGACATATTCCATGACAACTTTTTTGATAACCAATTCAATGGCGATGATTTGCTTCCTGACCCAACCAACACCAGTTCTGCCCTCCAAGACCCAACCAACACCAGTTCTGCCCCCCAAGACCCACCCAACACCAGTTCTGCCCTCCAAGACCCACCCAACACCAGTTCTGCCCTCCAAGACCCACCCAACACCAGTTCTGCCCTCCAAGACCCACCCAACACCAGTTCTGCCCTCCAAGACCCAACCAACACCTGTTCTGCCCTCCAAGACCCACCCAACACCAGTTCTGCCCTCCAAGACCCACTCAACACCAGTTCTGCCCTCCAAGACCCAACCAACACCAGTTCTGCCCCCCAAGACCCACCCAACACCAGTTCTGCCCTCCAAGACCCAACCAACACCAGTTCTGCCCCCCAAGACCCACCCAACACCAGTTCTGCCCCCCAAGACCCAACCAACCCAGTTCTGCCCTCCAAGACCCACCCAACACCAGTTCTGCCCTCCAAGACCCAACCAACACCAGTTCTGCCCTCCAAGACCCAACCAACACCAGTTCTGCCCCCCAAGACCCACCCAACACCAGTTCTACCCCCCAAGACCCACCCAACACCAGTTCTGCCCTCCAAGACCCAACCAACACCAGTTCTGCCCTCCAAGACCCAACCAACACCAATACAACCCTTCTTCACCCAACCGGCGACCACCACCCCAGCAACCGGCCTAAATCATTAACATATCGGGAGTACGTAAAGTGGCGAAGTACCAGACCAAAAATAAAAAGTAGGTGCTCTGAATTTTTTCCTTCTTGTTTAAAAAGTAAATCCTACGCTCCTGGAAGTATATGCCTTTGATGAGTAAGGCCGGATTAAACTTAGACTATTTCCTTTTTTTGGTTTCGCATTTTAGTTTTGCCATTTTGGACGAAAGTGAATATTCTGGACAGATATGCTAGTGATTCAGGTCGAGTTGTTGGAGAAGGAATTGTTGTCCCTGGTTTTCAGGCGCATGATGAACCTGTGTCATTACATCGTGGACTTTGCAGAAAGGTTTATGTGGAAAAAGTATATGGTAAGAGCCGATCGATCTGAAAATATTAATGTCGACAGTGGTTTCTACACGACTGTTAGTCTTACTGCTAGTTTAGTCTTTACATGTCTTATGAATTTATATTAAGAATGCAACAAAGATATACATATGGTAACCGGAAGCTATATCGCGTGCTCCTTCGTTCGTCTGACTCCCAAAGATGCTGATTGTCCCGAAGAAGTTGGTGGTTTGATTGATTCAAAATTGGCCGGTGGATTCCGTAAACTTAAAGGAAAAAAAGATGAAGAAGAGCTTTGTGAGGCATTGGCTTGCCAATGCCCAACTTCCGAAGACATAGGATGGGCACAGTGTGGTACTTGTGAAAAGTGGTACCACCTACATTGTATTGGCGTGCTGACAGAAGATCAGGTACCGGAGAGATGGTGTTGTGGAATGGAAACCATCAATTCGGAAGAGGTCTTCGAGTTTAGGTAGCGCATGATTTGTGAACCTGTAATATATAGAAGCTTTTCGTGCGAACACTATTAATTATATATAATCTCTGGTAATATATAGGAAGAAAGGTCAATACCAAAATCTCGGCGAGATGCTACACGTCTTAAAGACCGTTCAGGTACAGTATGTGGTGCACTACACAGTATAAAATACTACTTGAAAAAACTACCATGATTATTTTCGTGTTCGTGGATGTATAGCGAGAAAATACCCACACATAATCACGGAAGTGGTATTCATCAAGCGCAGTGAGGGAACCGTCTGTATTCTTCGTGCTCTACTTAGACGACGTTGCCTGCCCGAAACTGCCATGTAATGGCCAGTGCATGTCCTTTCACCATGCAGTTGCAAGACAAATTGCATGATAACTTATATTATGGCGTTCTTTCCTTATTTAGGAACATTTGAAAATGTTAGTCACCAACAAAATTTCTAGTGTCCGTCACAGAATCTTCATGAAATATAAAAAAAAAGAAAGCGGTGCTTTATTGAAAAAACTGTCAGCGGGAACGAAATCGCCTTTTACCGAAGAATTAGTAAGTAACGTAAAAATTTCCTTCATACACGCAGTGCTTATTTTTATCTTCATACAAGTGTCACTGGCTCTATCCATAGGATGAGGATTTCATGGATATAGTCCACGGTATGTTTATGCCACCTGAACGCGAGTATGAAGATATGTGGAAGTTACAATATGTCACTGACGTACTAATTCCAGAGGTTTGTACAGTGATTTTTATTTACAATGTACTATAGATACTGTATACTGCACTTCTGATACAGATAATTACATAACATATACAATAGTGCAAATCTTGATGTATTACAGGCATACGTTTGGTTCGTTATGGAGGTGGAAAACGTTCCAAGAAATCTGGCAGAGATTATGCTGTTTAACTGGACACACCAAGTTCCCGATATACTGCAACAATTTAGGCAAAGCCACTAAAAAAATGATGAACTTTAAATTCCGTGAGTTAACATTATGGACTAAAACGCTTTTTCCGCTGATAATTTCAGCAAAAGTAGAATAAAAGTTATACCGAATGAGTGCATATTAATAATACACAGTTAATAAAAACTTGTATAATTTGAATCAAATCTGAGGCTATGTACACACGGGCGTTGTTTCCGAGCGCCCTGTTTACACGGACAAACTCGTAGACCGTATCAAAAATCTCAAGGTAAAGCGTTTTCAATGTATTGAATTGGTTCAAACTTCTGCAGTAAATTGCTAGTATTTGCATCAGTCTTTGCGTGAAAACACAAATGAAAACGCTCGAAAATGTTACCGTGCATGTGCACGTAATCTGATTCATCTTCAGCACTTTGCAAAACATACTACAGAAAGATGGATCAGATTTGATTCGGAATATACAGGGTGTCCCAAAAAAAAGTCCCCGCTATTGAAATGAAGCTTTTGTTGGAATTTGAATGCATGATCAACGCAGCAGTGTGTAAATAGCATAGTTATTAGGTTGAGGCATTCAAATAAAACGTCTTGCTTTCAATTGGGTTTATCATAATATTAAGGCAATCAGATTCTAACAAAGGCTTGATTTCAATAGAGGGGACATTTTTTTGGGACACCCTGTACAGTTTTTATAAATCGTGTACTATTAATATGCACTCCTTATTTGGGATTGTTTTAACCATCTTGGGATGTTCAAATTTATAAAATACTGTACAAACTATTCACTATCAGATGATTGGCTGTGAATGCTTTCATCATCATCATCGTTATCATGTTCAATCATCCCGTCCACGTCTGGAAGTGACGTATAGCTAACATCAGGCATATCTACGTAATCCTTGAATGAATCACGTATGAAAAAGACACGATGTCTCAACATTTTTTGCTCCGCTTTTAACAATGCTAGTGAGCCTCTTTCATACTTGCTAAGTGCATCGTTTGAAGACAGCGTGTTCACAATACTGGAAACCTTGGCTTCGTCGGTGAGGTAATAGTTGAAAAGCTGCCTCATTTCAGCGCTCAAAAGGACCTTCTCTTCCCGACTACGTTTGAGAAGGTTCAACATCTCGATCGCGTGACGTTTGACTGTCGATGGAATACTGCCAATACCAGCGTCGTGTTCCTCAATGTTGATGCCATGCGTTTTAATCGTGTCAAAGCTTAGATTTGGAAACCTATTCTTCGTTTCTTCCTCAAGCTGATCCTGTGAACAATTGTACTCCACCAGCAGCCGTTTAATGTTCTTTTCACTCTTCTTTACTTGGTTTGCCAACTTTCTTGCTAACGCATTACCTTCTGTAAATAACATTATTAACATATAGTTACATAACATCTAAAAAAATACGAATATACAAATAACTCGGCTATTTCTAATAAATAAATGCTACGCGTCATTGCCAGTAACCAATTAAACACCCATGGCCATTGTAAAGATCAAAATGTTGTTTGCTGGCACATTTTTGTCATAGTTGGGTCTCTACGCCTCATCGTTTTACCTTGCTCAAACGCCATACGATTTTACCTGATGAGTTAAATTATGGGCAATATCTTATGATAGAACTGTGTACAGCTTCTTACCGGAATACTTCTCTTTCAGATTTAAGAGAAATAGCCTTTCTTCACATACATTTTTGATCTTCTCATACACTTCAGTGCATTTCTGGCAATTTTTCCTCGCTAATTCTTTTTTGTAATTGTTCTCATTTGGTGTCCATCTCGACGTTATTCCGTTGGCTCTCTCCAATACAACGAGCTCCTTATCTAACCTGAGCATTAAACAAGGAAAAATATGAGAGGTTTTTTATAGTTTAAGACTTTAAGTTGCAGCTATTGGAAAATATTTTTCCAGCCATTCCAGGCAAATTCCCAGGAGGGGGTCTGGGGGGAGCTCCATGTGACGATACCATATGGCAACAGTGCCTAGCAAAGGGTTTATGTTGTATTTGTATAAAAACATTATTTTCTCAGACTGCGAAATACATTTAACTTTAATCTCAATTTATTGCATATAATTTTACCTCTCCATTTTTTTGGTGATAGCCGATACCTCATCAGCATCCAGCACATCTGTACACAAATTACTTCTGCCAAATTAATCAATCAGAAATATTATAAACATGAGAATACTGGTATATTTTACTACCCATTTCAAATTCAAATATAAAGCTATACATAGGCGTACGGGCGCAACTTCGTTTGGGGGGGCAAAAAAAATCGCCCGAATTTTTGAATTACACAATGTGCCCGAATTATAACTTTTACCAGATTTGTAACAATAGATTTGGCAAAGCGGCGGATGGACTTTTAAGAAAGTATAACAAAAATAGCGAAATAGAATACAAATATGTTATATATATTACAAAATTTGGTTTTAAAAATTTTAGCTATGTAATTTAGCTTTCAGTTTGCCCGAAGTTTCGGCTGAACTTTGCCCGAATTTCTTGATTCTCGAAATTTTTGGGGGGGCAACTGCCCCCCCTGCCCCCCTGTCTCGTACGCCTATGATTAGCTATATAATTTAACAAACCTTAAGACATAAAAAATCCTTAGCTGATCAACATAGGTGGAAATAGGCGAGTCATTACAGGTGTCGCTTTCGTCTTGCCCTGATTACACATTTATCAAGTAATATAAAATAAGTATTCTGTAACAACATGAGCATTTCTATCTAATCGGTGCACAACAAATTATTATTACTTACTCGTCCGCTCACCACACAAACGTTGGCGTTCCTGGTTTGCCAACTCTTCAATAACAGTCTCTGTCAAGGGAACTTAAAGCACAAAAAAACACAACAAGGAAATAAGTGACTAAATGTATTGCATTATAGAAATAGAATCTCATGTGACAAAGGTAAAAAAAAATCATGAAAGTGAATCTTCATGTAAAGGCATACAGAATCAATAATGGTTCATTGCTCCTGGCACATTATATGTACCTGATAATTTATTGGCCAAATCGTCTATGTTTTTCTGGCTTGCTTCTATGCACTGTGCGGACTTTTTCCAGTTCTTTAATAACCCTGAAACTAGATTTAAATTATGTTAAATTTCCCACAAAAACATTTCTCAAATGCCTGGTAACCTGACGTAAGAAAAGGGACCCTCTAAATGGCAATGTAAATGCATACAGTAGTTACATACCTAAGGTATCTTTACATTGACGTCCATAATGGAGCAACGCATCACTCAACACATCAATGCGATGAGAAGGACGCATTTCTTTGGTCATTTTGGAAAAGCGACGTAGATATGACCATAATCTCTCTAGTTGCTCACCATCCGACAACCCAAAGTTATCAGAGCGTCTTGGACTGAACTCAAGCTGGAAATATTTTTAAAGAATTAGCTACGCAAGCGAGAACGAAATAAGATAAGAAAATACCTTTCACTAAGCAAAATATGACATGCTTGACTTTCACAGAACAGCAGTGTTGAATGCAAAATCCAGAGGGCAGCATTATTGATCAGTACTTTAAATCCATGTACTGTATGTTTTAAAATCCATATACCATACAATACCTGACATGAGGCTATATGTCCATATATGTGAAAGGCAGGTACTGCCAGAGTCACATTTGACAATAAATCAAGTTGTCCAGAGGACTAAAAACACAAGACTCAAATTTAGTCGTTATATGCAAACATCGTCTTCAGCCTTCATACATGTTCAAAAACTCTAATAACTCGTCAATTAAACAAAATAAATCCATGCATTAAAAAAGTTAACCACACCTGTAACCCATAACAATGTTGGCATATTATGTTATATATTTTCAAAGAATTACATATTAATTGTCATTTGACATTACCTGCAAATGCTTAGTTAGCAAACATCCAATGTCATACATAATTTTAATGTCATAGGTTCCAGGATGACAATTTGCAACAACCTCTTTTAGCATCCAAACAGCATATGCTATCCTATTGGGTAAAAACTAATTTATAGAAACACAATATTTCACAGTTTATCATATATATACATAATAGTGCACATAGTTAGCCATAATTCATCTAAATTTACAGTATACCATGCACTGCTAAATGCAGTATCACTGCATATTTCTAAGATTACCTTTCACCATGTTTCAAATTGACAAACTGTTTTGGGAAACCATGTCTGCATGCCCTGCCAAAAACACCAGTCTCATCTAAAGCCTTAAATTGCGTTCTAGATCTTAAAACGTCGCCAGCTTTGAAATCATTACAATCCTATAAAAGGTTTGAAATAAATTTTTCTACACTACAACACTACAATAGAGAAGTTTAGATTTGACCATATGTAAATCATTAATACTGTCAATGCCATAAGTCATTAATACTATTGATGCCCTGCTGATGATGGTGTAATATGAGTTTAGTTAATAAGACGTGGTTAGTCAGATCACAGACTATCATTAGTCATCAGAAAGTTACAGTAGTTTACTTTGTTACCCAATAGCTATAAATAAATGCATTCCTAGTTTTTTATTGTTACGTTATGTTAATGAACAAACAAAAAATACAGTAAAGCACTGTGTGTCTAACCTTTGATACTTTTGGTTGTGTAGGATAGGAATCAACAAAATTGTCAACTTTTTCTTGATTGCTGAAAAATGTTCCCCCATGCAATGGTTCTCGAACACTGGACCCAGCAGCTTTCTTACGAGGTAAGCCAAAACAGGCATCAAATGACTCAATAAGAGTACCATCACCCTAGTAATTGAATAGCTACTATTATATCTAACCGCGCATGCGCAGTGAGCGTAATACAACATGTGTAAAACAATGTGCCCTCCCAGCTATCACCAGAGCGCAATGGTGACTCCTGCACTTGGGACACAGGACGTACGGTTACACATTGTTGGAATTGTATAGTGAAGTCACCAGAGTGCTCAAACTTATACAAGTGAGCTTTGCATAAAGCTTGCGGTGAACGTCTCTCGATGAGACTCTCCACACAATTCCTAGAGTGCTCTAACCGCGTGTGCGCATGTATATATATATATATATATATATATAAATATATAAATATATATATATATATATATATATATATATATATATATATATATATATATATATATATATATATTGCAACAGATCTTACCACAGGGCAAGCTGGGCAAACATTTCCATGATCTCTCTCTGGACACATTACTTTAAGAGTACGTAGCTCATTCTTCATATACCTGTAAGTAAATTTGATTTAAAAAATAACAAATTATTTCCATTTTTGGCTAAACCATTTACTTTTCAATATATAGAGGGCTGAAATTTTCAACAAAAGGGTGTGGTCAAATAGGCAGAGGTTAAATGCATTTGGCTTTTAAACAAATAATTCATACATTTATTTATTAACAAAATTAAAAAATTAAAATTACCTATACTCTTCAAAACAATCAATGATTAGGTGATATAAATCTTTTTTCTATAAAATAATAAAGGATATGTAAAGTAATAATTAAAGTTCACTACAATTTGTTGTATATAGACCACTTGCATGTGACATCACACATGACAAACTTTGTAACTAGCCACCATTTTGGGGGCGAAATGGAGTACATTAACTAGTATTTTGACTCTTTAAAAGCACCTGTCTTGTACTCAAATATGGTGAAGGCATGTTTATTTCGCATTCGCTGACATTCATGACTGTTGAAACATTGAAAGATTTGAAAATTATTACACCCCCCCATGAAATAATACTAATGGGTCATATGTTACCTTGACATATCTTGGAATTCTTAAATCCAATGCTCTACAAAAATCGTTCAGTGAAACTTGGCACTCCAAAAGTAATGCTTCCATCCAATCCAAAAGGTCAAATGATAAAGCAATAGATGGATTCTTTGAACATGTTGGCCACAGCCGTAATCTTGCTAAGGATACAGGAAAAGCTTCACATGGACAAGACATAATACCAAGTTCATGCCTTCGACCTGCAGATATTTGGAAATTAATTAAACTACATGACTCTACAGTGTAAGTTGAAATTGAAAATACAAAATTTTCAAAATGTTGCATTGTTTCCTAACTCACAGCTAGCCCTAATAATAGCTCATTTAAATAATACCTGGAATGAGTTGATAGTTATTGGTTTTGAATGAGTTTGAGAATGAAATGGATGTAACATTCATTGTATTTGACTTTTTGTTAGGCCATTAAGTCCAATGTGTGCCTGATTTTGTTCTTTAATGCTACAGCGTACAATGCTTTCTTATATGGCATACATATCATTACTGGATATTCTGATTTTCTGACTTACCATCATCACATATAGCAGTAATTGTTTTTATTTCTGATGCAAGACAGGAATGCCAAGGTCGAGGATTTAATATTCTCTTAAACATTGGACTTGGTAAAAACATTCCATCCTTAGCAGAAAAAAGAATGCTAATTTAAGGAATAAAAATGATATAAATATTCCATTAATAGGGACATGCAGTTTAATCATTCTACCATATGCTTATGTAATTTCTCAAAACTTTCAGTGGCAATTTGTTTCTATTTGAATGTACTTTCTATTTGACAAATTTACAGTTATTCCATACCAGGAAACATTACATTTATCTTGGGCCATGTGCTCACAAATCTATCAATCACATAGCTATAGCTATTTATCAATGTATATTATCCTAACTTTTGCATTTTTGCTTCATGCAAAAAATTCCGTCCTCTGAAGTCTGAACCACTATGTTTAAGTCATTTAAAATTAAATATAATATTGAAGTAAACATTTCACGAAAGAATTTATATATAATGTATAGAGTATAGTGTATTTATGAACTACAAGCAAAAAATGAAGTATACTGACCTTCCACTGTTCAACCACATGAAATACACAAACATTTTTGTGCAATGATGCCACACATGCTTCACAAAAATAGTTTCCTGCGCCGCATTTCAAGCATCGAAAGTTTGCGCTGGCTACATTACAGTTGGTGCACAGTTGACCACACGGAATACATTCTGATTCAACCACAGCTTTTAACAAGGTTCCTCTGATATTTTCCCAGTTTTTTGTCGAGCTTTGTTGTCGTTTAGCATAGCTAGTTGACTTTCCTGGAGCTTTCTCGTTATTTTCACAATCACTATCACTTTCACTAAATATCTCAGTGAGATCTCTCTCACTGAAAACAAATGATGATGAAGTTTGCACGGACGTTCCTAAATTATCTTCACATTCACCGACTTCATTCACACGCGCAGACGTTTCGTCACGATTTTGTGGAGATGCCAATTCTATTCTTCGTCGTATTGGAGATGGGGAAGAGTCTGTGAATGCGACAAATTCAAAACTAGGTCCTCTTGGGAGCGTTCGTTTGATGTTTCGAGGCATATTTCAGTTTTATAAAAGACTGCATAACGCACGCCGCTCATTAACTGTCGCCATCTTGAACGCGTTTCTATGATTAACGGTAGACTGGAACTAGTGTTTCTCTACATTCCTGGGATTGGCGGGATTGGTAATCTGGGTATTAAAAATACTAAGCCTGCCTGACCAATCTGACAGTATTTATACTACGTAGATTCTGGCGAAACGGGTGCATTTGTCAAAGCTTCGTTCCTGATTTAAACCAAAATCTCGGACATCTTTCCGGTCTTATTTACTCATTTTGCTGTGCGTGAAAACAGCTTCATGGTGCAGTAAATTGCTCCGTAATTCAGTGCGGTTACACTCGACTTAAAAGCACAGAAAATGATTTTATGAAAAAAGAGTTTTGTTCTGTTTAGAGAATTAAAATGTTTTTCTTTCGCCGATCAAACCCGATTGAAAACGATTTACCTTCTTTACCAACGATCTATCTAGTTTTAGGTGGTATTTAATTGTACTGCAAGCTAATGGGTTAACAAGAGAGTCAGACACTGACAGATAGTTTAACTGACAGTGCTCTTCCACTGATGAGTAAAATCATCTGGTATTATAGTAAAATACTATAGTAGGTCAAATCTGGGTGCATTGCAAAATAATGGGTTAACAAGAGACACTGACAGATAGTTTGGTAACTCGTTATTCCATCAGCTTTCAAATTGCAACCAGATGTGGCCTACTTTAGAATATTACTCCAAATCGAGATGATTTTACTCATTAATGGAAGGATACTGTCAGTTAATATGTTAACAAAACTATCTGTCAGAGTCTCTTGTTAACCCATTAGGTTGCAATGCAGCCAGATGTGACCTACTTTAGTATTAAATTACTCTAATACCAGATGATTTTACTCATCTGAGCTAAGCGTCACTCGTGACTGTTAGCTGAGATGTTGAAATCCTAAAGTGTGCGATGTCGTGTTCTGCGTTTTCTGGCAGGCGTGGTATCCGCGTCGGATATTCAACATGTTGAATAATTTTGTGCATGAGTGAAAATTTCCTGACAGTGTGCTCGCGTCCTGAGCTATCAGCTCAGCAGTTGGAGTGAATGCGAGCACGTGTTCTTTTCATATTTTAAATTATTTTCACAACCCAAGTGGGTGCAAAATAACTCAATAGTTGCCGAATCAGTACTGGGAAACAAATTAGCGGATTTTTTGGCACGGTTATCCCTGCATGTCTATACGAGGTAAGGTGTCCTGAGTGACCCATTTTTTCGGTGCCTGTAAGTCTTAAATGATTTGTTGACTGCTAAAAAGTAATATTGAATGTAATTTTTCTTAAGTTTAAATGAGTTTGAACCCACTCTTAGTTCATTTTACACCAGTATCATTCGCTCCAACTGCTGAGCTGATAGCTTAGGACTCGCGCACACTGTGAGGAAATGTTCACTTGTGCACAAAATTATTCCACTTTTTGAATATCCGACGCCCATAGCAAGCGTGCAAGAAAACGCAGAATACGACACCACACACTTGAGGAAACAGCGCAGCTAACTACTAACAGTCATAAGTGACCCTCAACTCAGTTTCCTCCAGTGTGTCCTGGGCTTTAGTATTTTACCCAATGCCAGATGATTTTACTCATCAGTGGAAGCGTACTGTCAATTAATAAGTTAACAAAACTATCTGTCAGTGTCACTTGTTAACTCAATAGCTTGCAATGCACCCAGATGTGGCCTACTTTAGCATTTTACTGTAATACCAGATTATTTTACTCATTAGTGCATGGAAAAGTACTCTCAGTAAATGAGTTAAGAAAGCTATCTGTCAGTGTCTCTTATATATGGTGTTATATTGTTACTACAGGAGGAAACTTAAACTAAAGTGACTTTTTTTTATTGGATAGCTCTATCAGCTCTTAACTGTTCTTCCTAGAGGTCCAGTAGGGATCATCTCTTATTGATCCAGTGTTGCTACAGGAGGAAACCTAAACTAAACAAACTTTATTTATACTGCATAGCTCTATCAGTTAATCTAAACTGTTCTTCCTAGAGGTCCAGTAAGGATCATCTCTTATTGATCCATTATTGTTACTACAAGGGGAAACCTAAACTAAATTAACTTTATTTATATTGGATAGCTCTATCAGTTCTAAACTGTTCTTCCTAGAGGTCCAGTAAGGATCATCTCTTATTGATCCATTGTTACTACAGGAGTAAACCTAAACTAAACTAACTTTATTTCTACTGGATAGTTCTATCAGTTCTAAATTGTTCTTCCTAGATGTCCAGTGAGGTTCATCTCTTATTAATCCAGTGTTACTACAGGAGGAAACCTAAACTAAACTAACTTTATTTATACTGGATAGCTCTATCAGTTCTAAACTGTTCTTCCTAGAGGTCCAGTGAGGATCATCTTTTATTGATCCAGTGTTACTACAGGAGGAAACCTAAACTAAACTAACTTTATTAATACTGGATAGTTCTCTCAGTTCTAAACTTTTCTTCCTAGAGGTCCAGTAAGGTTCATCTCTTATTGATCCAATGTTACTACAGGAGGAAACCTAAACTAAACGAACTTTATTTATACTGCATAGCTCTATCAGTTCCTAGAGGTCCAGTAAGGATCATCATATTTCTCTGGTTTCCCGCTCTTTCTTTTGGCATAAAAAACAGTGTCCATGTTTGGGGCCAAACTAAAACGTGTTTGTTGATAGTGATGCAAACTCGTGTTGGGCTTCTGGGTTGAATTCCCAGAACACTGTGGGAATGATTTCAAAACATGGGTACAGAATCATTATGTAATTACCTATTTCTGTTTGGAAGTTTCAAATTCTCGTTCTCAAAACACAAATTCAAACTGTGACTATTGTATTGTTATGACTGATTTCAATAGTTTTGTGGTTTTGGGAACACCCTGTAGAGATAAATAAAATGATATACAAATGACCCTTCCACGATTTCTATAGAAGTAATTTAGCTTGTAGGAACACCACGTAACTATTCAATACTGCGCAAAGCTTTCGGTATATAGCTGAGTGTGAGTTAGTGACCTCCCGTCCCTTTAATACTCCAGTTTCTTTCCCAAAGTTGCCATGGCAGCTAATCAAAATTCAAAAGGAACCGGTGGCCGGTGGGGGAAAAATCACTCAGCTATATTATAACTGAGGAATTATTATATAGCTCAGTGGGAAACATTCAAATATTATGCTCCAAGCACAATGTCGAAACGAAAACAAATCTCTTGTGTTTTGACCCTGGTTTATCGAGCAAGAGTGCGTTAAATCGACGATGATTTTACTAAAGAAAGACTACTTTATACCGTGCTTGACACCGAAGTATGTTCCATTACATTTGGAAATGTTTTTCTCGCATATCCAAGCGGGATTCGAGGTTTGTATTATTATTGTGTTATATTTACATTGTATTTCAGGAATTATTTATCAAGTCTTCGTCCCTTATTTAAGCCAAAATTTTGGACATATTTCCGGTCTTGTTTACTCATTTTGCTGTACGTGAAAACTGCTTGAAGGTACGGTAGATTGCTGAATAATTCAGAGCGGTTACACTCGACTTAAAAGCACAGAAAATCATTTTAGGCCGTGGGATGAGCATCGAAAAGATGCAATTCCGTTGCACCCCTCGTGAAACTACGTAATTTTTACATGAATCAATAGATAAAAACTTACTTTATCAGAATCCGTCGCTCCCCAAGTGAAACAGGTGCACAATTGGGAAAAAAATCCCTCCAAAGTTTGCTAATTTCGCGTTTCGAAATATTCGAACCGCCATTGTTTTAATAGCAAATACGCATGCGCATGTCAGCCAAAGTCGCACTGCGCACGCTCACACAGGAAAAATGGATTTTCCCTGTGGGTTTTCCCCGATTTCCCGCGTGAAAACAACAAAATAAAATCACGGAATAAAGATTAAACCTTGTAATATTAACGAATAAATACACACACATCAAATATTGTTTAAAACACATTGTACATTTGCTTGCTGGTATGCTAAATCACCTCAATTCATTGGCTATTGTTTCAAAATACCGTTTTACGTTAACATCGTTATTCATTAAAAATTGCGTCAGGTAAAAATACCACCTGTATCAAACAGGATGGAGAATATATAATATACATACAACTCACACAATCAAGGGACAAGTTAAATATTTCGCTTAACTATAGCCTTCACATCACTAACAAAGCCTGGAGGAATAGCAGAATCCTTGGATATATTCATCTGTTCAAGGGCAGTCTCATGGCACAATACAAATGAGTGTGACATGCAATGTCCAAAACAACTCAATAGAAAAATTACTGAGGCTGAACCTGTCAGTTGTCTAAGTGTCATGGCAAGTGCTATGCTCTTGGGTGTAGGATTCCTTCCCCCAGATACTAAATTCACAAGGTCTTGTACCATTGATGTTAGTTTGGCACTGTTCTTGCCCTCAATTGGCACGTACTCACTTAAAGTTGGCTCTGAATAGAATCACAAATCCATGCCAATACATTAAAAAGTTCACATGGAGCCACTTTTTGCACATTATCCATTGTCAAATCAGATGCCAATGGTGGCTAAGGAAGATTTAGTTTTGGTATTTCTTGGACCTTTTGGCAAAGAATCAATGCAGCATTGTATAGAATTTGTAACTCATTGACTTTAGAATTTCCCTCAGTTTCTGTGGAATTCAGATCATCATCATCAATGGTATAGCTTTCTTCATCAAAGTCTTCATCGTTGTTTTCTGACTAGTTTGACATGTTCCTCAACCAGTTTGGAAGAATCCAAATTTTCCACATTTACAATCTCGCTAACATTTCTCATTTTCGGTACATAGAACACAAGTTGGGGATAACTTTTCATCAGTCTTTATTTGGATGAAGCTCTATATTTGGATGCATCCACATTCTCTGTGTCCTTAGCAATGATAACAAATTTCTCCAGCAAATCTTTCATATACCTTATTTGCTTAAATTTGCATAACTTCAGTGTCGATTACTTTCTTAGAAGACATCATAAGACTTCTCATACACTGATGTAGATCTTTCAGTTTCCAATTGCTTTTTTGCCTCTCTGGTGAGAAATTTTACATAATTGTAGTAACAAACTTTGTGATAGAGGACTTCCAGTGCTACACAGTCTTTCCCCCGGATTCGCATGAGTATCCGTTCATCATTCCTTTTCTCCAAAGCTGTA